AGAGAAAAATAGTTAGCAGAAACACAAAACTATGTATACAGTATGATTTAACTTTTATTTTTTATGTTATTTGTCACTTTTAATTTTATATAATTACCGAGTTAAGGAAAGCTATAAGAATAGTACAAAGGACTCCCATATACCTTTTATCCATCCTTGCCCGTTGTACATTTTGCTCTAATTTATTTTGTTATTTTCCTTTTTTCTCAAAGTGTAATTTACCATCAGTACAGCACACGAATCTTAAGTGTACACATCAGTGAATTTTACATGTGTAGACCCAGTGTAACCACCAACTAGATCAGGATTAGAACACTCCTGTACTCCTCGTTCCTCTCCCATTCACCAACTCTCTTCGAAGGGAACCTCCACTCCAGCTTCTGTCACTAGAGATTAATTTTATCTGTTTTGGGACTTCACAAAAATGGAATCATACAATAGTTACTTTTCTTTTTGTAGCTAAACTCTTTCACTCAATGGGATGTCTATGAGATTCATCCATTAAAAAAAAAGAAAACACAACAGCTTAATTAAGATATAAATCATGCACCAAGAAGTTCATCCCTTTAAACTAAACAATTCAGTGGGTTTTGTTTAGTATAGTCACAGAGTCGTGCAACCACCTCTATTATCTGATTGCAGAAGATTCTCATTGTCTCAGAAAAAACAAAACAAAACAAAACAAAACAAAACAAAAAACCCTTACACCCACTAGCAGTAAATTCCTATTCTTCCCTCCCCTCAGCCTCTGGTAACCACTAATCTGTTTTCTATCTCTATAGCTATGCCTATTCTGGACATTTCCTATGCATGACATTGTATACTGTGTGGTCTTCTGTGAATGGCTCCTTTCACTCAGCGTAGTGCTCTCAAGGGTTATCTATGTTGTAACAGGTGTTAGTACTTCATTCCTTTTTATTGCCGAGTAATATGCCATTGTAGGAATATACCACATTTTGTTTACCCACTCACTAGTTCATGGATATTTGAGTCACTGTGTTTTTTAAACACAACGCTAATTTGGTCTTTTTTATTTCTGTATGGTGGTCCACTGTAAGAACAGGCTCAATTTATCCATTGTACCATTGACAGGGTTTTCTCTTCCTAGTTTTTGGCTATGTGAAGCTGCTCTGAACATTTCTGTAAGTGCCTTTGTCAGGCCTGAGCACTCATTTCTGCTGGGTATATACTTAAGAGCAGAAATGCTGATCATAGATTATACAAGTACATTCAACTTTAGTAGGTACAGCCAAACCCTTTCTCAAAGTGGTTGCAGAAAATTACATTCCCACAAGCAATTTATGAGAGTTTCAGTAGCTCTCATCTTTGCAAACACTTGGTATCTTAATTTCAGCCATTCTAGTTGGGGATACTGCTAGCTCATTGTGGTTTTAACTTGCCTTCTGTGATAACTAATGCTGTTTAGCACCTTTTCATTTGCTTACTAGCTAGTTATCCTTTTTTCTGTAGGACTCATTCAAGTCTACCCATTAAAAAAAATTGTGTTGTCTGTCTTTTTCTTAAATAGATGCTCTTGATAAATTCTGGATATACACCCTTCAATATATACATGTATTGTAAATATTTTCTCCCAGCCTGAGGTCTGATTTTTCACTTTCTTAAATACATCTTTTTTTTAAATTTCATTTTTTTATTGAAGTACAGTCCGTTACAATGAGTCAATTTCTGGTGTATAGCACAATGTCCCAGGCATACATATACATACATATATTAGTTTTCATATTCTTTTTAATTAAAGGTTTTAAATGTATCTTTTGATGAACAGAAGTTCTTAATTTTATGAAGTTCAACTTAACAATCTTTTCTTATGGTTTATACCTTTTGTGAAGTTCTTAATTTTAATGAAGTTCAACTTAATCTTTTCTTATGATTTATACTTTTTGTGTCTTAAGAAATTTTTGCTTCTTTCCAGGTCATGAAGACATCCTCCCCATGCTTTCTTCCAGAAGTTTTGTTGTTTAGTTTTCACACTTAGGTCTCTGATCCATTCTGAACTATTTCTCTCAACAGTGTAAGTGTAGGGATCGAGATTCATGCTGCCACATGTACATATGCGACTGATCTAGCATCATGTGTTAAAAAGACCATCTTTTCTGCACTCATTTGCAGTGGTACCTTTGTAACAGATCGGATGACCATGTATATGTGGATCTCTCAATTTTATTTTAAATACATTTGTGTGTATAAAGATTTGAAAGCAGTAACAAGCTGTGTTAATGGTTGCTGTATTGTGGTCGTACGGTTGTGGGTAATTTTTGTTTTCTTTCGAGCATTTTCTCCATCAACCATAATACTATTTTAATAGTCAGACAAGATCGATAAAGTATTTTTCTAAAATATTACAGGAGTAGACATTATCAAGGGTGCAGGTTCTGGGAGACAGAGGAAAGGTTAGGCTGGACAGCAAGCAGGAGAGCTTCCTCAGTCAGGGAAGCATCCAGGCTGGAGAGGACAGAATTTAGAGCCTGGCTGACAGAGGCCTTCCATCTTCTTAGTGACCTCAGTTTTCTGGAGAGGGTGGTGCTAGGAGGCTGGGAGTACGAGGAAAGTGGACATGATCATTATCAATAATGCTCTGTTGTAAGTGCACACTCCTTAGCAGTTTATAAACACCTACAGGCCCACTTCTCCAGTGTTCCTCCCATCAGTCCTGTGGGCTGGGCAAGGCCCAGTGATTACATCCATTTTACAGATAAGGAGACAGATGCTCTCTGAGTCCCGTTCAAGCATCCATTAAAGACCATTTGATGCCAAGCCTTGTGTTAGTTCAGGGTCCACAGAAACAAATAAGGCATACTTCCTATCTGCCCTCAGGCAGCTCCCAGCCTGGGCAGAGGGAACAGTAAGTCAATGGACGATGAAAATGCTATGAGAGAGATAAACTCAAGATGATGTGACAGCACAAAGGAGGCACCTAACCAGACTAGACTGGAGAGTCATAGGAGATGTTTTGGAAGAGATGACATCAGCGTGAGTCTTTTTCTTCCGTGTTTGAAAAAATTCTGGAAGTGAGATATGTGTTTGAAATACAGATAAGCAAAAGAAAAAAAATCAGTCATAATCCTCTGCCAAGACATACCCTTTACTCATACTTTGATACAATGCCTTTTAAAGCTCATTCTCTCTTTGATATATGCGCACATGTACACACACACACCATACACACAGAACACACATACAAACATTACACAAAAATAAATGAAATCCGCTATAATAGCATTCTATAATTTGCTCTTCTTCATTTATTATGTTTTAAATCAGCAAATAGAAATCTACATTTTTAAAATGACTTTCTAGGTATTGTTCAACCTATGGATGTATCAAAATTTATTCAATCTCTTATAGTGTACATTTATTTCTAACATTTAATAACTATAAATGATGTTGCAAAGAAGAACTTTTAAATCCATTTTGGTGCACTTTTCCAATTGTTATTTTATGATTAATTATCAGAGAAAACTGATCAATTTACTTTTCCACCTGTATCTCTAAACCTGGCTAACAGTGGATATCTTTATTTATTTATTTATTTTAATTTGACAGATGAAAAATGGCATCTCTTGTAGTTTTGTTTGCATTTCAGATGACTAATTTTCTTTTCATAATTACTGGCCATTTATATGTTTCTTTTTAAATAGCCTGTTCTTTATTTGCCCACTTTAATTTTGGAGTATTTGGGGGTTTTCTTACGGATGTAGAAGAGCTCTTTACATATTGTTGACAATAATTCTTTGTCACAGAATTGCAAAATCTTTTTTCTAGTTTCCTCTTGCCTTTAGATCATACTTTTTCTGAAGTTCATTTGGAAGAGTAGTTTAGTCATGATAGGAAGAACATTTCAAAAGGAAAGAGTAATGAGAAATTTGCCCTCTTAGATATAAAATATATCATAATGCTACTATCCTTAAAGTATTGTGTAACTAGTACACAGAAACATCAATGGATGAAACTCAGAAACAGATCCAAGAACAAAAGAGTTCCATAGGTGATGAAGATGGTATCAAAAATCATTGAAAATGGTATGTTGACAACTGGCTATTACAAAAACTACATTAGATTTCTTCCTCATTCCAAAGTCAAAATAACTTCCAGATGGATTAAAATGTAAAAAACTGTTTTAAAAATTAAAAAAATTTAAATCCTCTCGTTGTGATCGGTAACAACAAACAGTGAGCTTTGCCTACTTAAAAAATACCAAGAAAATATTTTGTAACAAATATGTGAAAGGAAGTGTGCGACTTAACCACGTGGAGGTAAAGAGGGACTCAGAAGTGCACTCCAGGCAGAGCAAAGCTCTTAGGTTGAAAGACAGCAACGTGCCGGCTGAAAAGAGAGGATCAGAAATCGAACGCAGGGCGCCCACAACGGATCCGGGGCTGAGTCCGTGTCCGCCCCCACAAGCCATCTTAATTATAAAATAGCACTTTTCCCATATATGGTCCTTAATATCTGTTCTGGTAGGATGACATGGGTCTGGGAAAACAGCTCGTGGGGCGGGGTGTCAGAACCCCGGACCTTCCCAGTTTGCTCCCGCCCGGCCTCGCCCGGGACCAGGCAATGCACCAAAATCCCGGCCTGGAGCCCTCTGCGAGTTTCCTCCTCTGATTGGATTCTCTCTGTGTCAATCCTCCTCCTGGAACCTGGCTGCTCGTTGGGCCCGCCTTAGGGGGCGGGGCTCCCGCCTAGGAAGCGCGAGGGAAGGTGGAGAGGGTGGAAGTGGGGGCAGATGGAGGCCACCCCTCTGGCCTCATGGACTCCGCCCACTACCTTCCCACAGGTCAAGATGTCGGTCCATCAAGACCAGAAGCGGGCTGGAGTGGGTGAGACAGCTGGGGGGCGGGTCCATCTCTCCAGGCTCTGCCCCGCAGCCGGCGCTGGTCTGAGAATGGGCGGGCGCTGAGAGGGCGGGGCGGGAAGGCGGCGAGGAGCCGAGCAGGGTGCGGTGAGGCGCGCAGATCACCGCGGTTCCTGGGCAGGGCACCGAAGGCTGAGCGAGGCTGACCTGCTGCAGCTCCCGCCTCGCGCGCTCGCCCCACCCCGCCGTCGCCTGAGCGCTCGAGAAAGCCCTCTCAGGAGAAGCAGTGCCTGTTCCCCGGGGCAGATCCAGGTTCAGGTGAGCGAGCTCCACTGGCGTGTCCCGCCCCGGGCGGGCGGGGGCGGCGGCGACGGGACGCGCAGCGTCTGGGGCGAGCGGGCCGACGTGTGGTTCTCGGCCTCCGCGCGGCCGGCGATCAGCGCGGGCGGGCGCGAACGCGGCGAGGCCCGGCCGGGGCAATGCATCTTTCCCAGAGGGGCTCCAGGCCCCCTGCGCGGATGCTCGGGGAAGGCGCCGCTGAAAGCGAGGCTTCGGGGAGCAGAGGAAGGCTTCGGGGCCGGACGCTCCCTGGAAACCCTCCATCCCCCCACCTCCCGCCGGCGCACCCCGCGGGCCGAGCACCGGGAGCCTCGACCTCCCCCTGCTGCCGGGGCACGCGCCCCGCCCTCGCCTCTCCCAGTACCCAAGTTGGGCAAACTTTTTAACCCCTTCCGGGGGAGTCTCTGTCCCTTGGACCCATATGAACGGGGAGGGTAAGGTGGGGGTCTCGGAGTGGCGGCTCCTTTGGAAGTTTCAGGGCGTTTTCGAAACGGAGGTAACGGGCAGCCAGGGACCGTTTGGCAGCTGTCAGGACGTCCTCCTGAGTCAGAATCGGACAATCCGGCAGCAGACATTGCGCTCGCTCAGTTTCCGCCCTCTGCTCCCGACTTCCTCATTCGCCCGGCTGCAATCGGCCCGGCGGAGGAGGGGGACGGGGAGAGGTGCGGGTGGGTGCTTGGAGAAGGAGGACCCGGCAGGGACCGGGGATCGAGGCAGGAAAGGCTCCCTTCCTCCCCTACAGACCCTCACCCTTTGACTTTTGACTTCTTCTCTTCTGGAGAGAAAGGCTCGGGAAGGCCCGAAGTCATCTCCGCGGTCCCGGCGCGCACCTGATTCCACCGCACCTGCGGGCGGCCCCACAGGGCGGGCAAGGGCAAGGAGAGCTGGGGCCTGCTCCTTTAGGACCCGGCTTGGGCTATTGCATCGTTCCTGTTTGGGCTAGATCAGGGGTTTTTCTACTTACCCTCCCCCCCCCCGCGCCAAATTCCCGGCGCTAGGTCCTCACCCCAAGTTGTCCTGGAGCCACGCCCAGGGCGGGACTGCACCCCCTCCCATCCCTCTAGACAGCTCCGTTGTTTCAAACTGAGGCCGAGTACCCTCCTGAACCAGGTTTGCGGGCTGTCTTGAGATGGGGGCAGGGTGAGCGCCAGGGCTGCCGTCTGCAGCCCCACCCAGCCAGAGTGGGGAAGGTTCCTGGGAAGTCCCAGGTCCTGGAGGCAGGAGGCTCTCTCCGCTGGGCAGTTGAGAGGCTCAGCCACTTCTCGATTCACTGCACCCTTTCCTGGGTTTAAAAGGATTTCAAAGTAACTGTTGAGTAACTGTTGAAGGGGAAGAGCCTTAGCGCCTTCGTGCAACACTGTGGCCATTTCTGAGCCTGTAACCTCACCGGGTGGTTTATTCCCTTTTTGGTAAAGAGCGAGGCTGCTTTAAGGCCTATTTAGACAATCACTTGATGAATATTTGTCAGTTTATATACAAGGCTGCCAGGGATGGGGGAGGGTATGCAGATGTGTAATTGAGCAAATATTTAACTGGCTTCACTGTGCCAAGGACTCTGCCAGGTGATGGTGGGGTGTGAGGTTGAGTAAGACCTGGCTCCTGCCCTTGGGCATCCAGGGGAGGGCTGGGACAAATCTGTAGATGACTCTAATGTAAGATGAAGATGACAGAGACCCCAGAAAGGTACGGTGAGTCATGGGTATTGGGAGAAGGGAGCCAGCCCATCCTGTGGAGAACCCAGAGGGCAGAGCGAGGAGTTTACAGTCCTCAGGGGAAATAGTGGCCAAAGGACTGAAATACAAAGGCAGCCTGTGATGAGTGTCCCAAGCATGTGAGAGACAAAGGACTCTGAGAGGGACCACTTCTGTCTGTGGAGGCTGCCTCCAGGAGGGAGGATATTGCAGGTTTGGCAAACTGAGGCCAGCATTCGGGGTTGGAAAGTGAGGACTCATTTAGTGGATAATTGAAGGGTAATTAAAGATGTCAAGAGATTGCTCAGTGTAATTTGAGAGCTGCTGTGCCCCCCAGATGGCTGCAGGGTGACACCAAAAAGCTCAACTTTTCACATTCAGCAAGTCCCAGCAGTGCCCATGGGCAGATCCAGGTGCTCAGATCAGCAGGCAGTTTGCAGAAGGGCAGCCGGAGAGGTGTGTTCTGTGGGGCACGTGAGGGATGAGGAAAGAGAGGGTCAGGGCCCTCGCTTTCTGTTTTTTATTTTTAAACTTTTTAACCTAAGGGGTTGGAGATGGGACAACTTCCCTCCTGCAGGATGAAGGATGCATGTTAATAACAGCCTGCCTTTTGCCCGGTCTTGCTCCAGAAAAAACAAAACCAGGATCTGTTAGCTTTTTAAAAGGAGAAAAGCACACTCAAAAAATGCTGCATTGTTGTGTGGGCTGTTGGAGGATATTGCTAGAAACCAGGCTGGCTGTGCTTTCTTCACTTCCTCTTCTAGCTAATCCTTCCATAAAGTACTTAAGACAGCCCTTACCAGCTTGACATCTTTATTTCAAAAGGAGAGGAGGGGTTGACTGTTGTTTTCCTCCAAGCCTGGCCCTACCCTTCTCTTGGAGGGGGAGAAAGAAAAATCCAAAGCAAAGGGGAAAAAAAAATCCTTGCCTTGACAGCTTCCTCCCAAGCATCATGTTCCAAAAATATTTAGAATAACAAAATCTGTGTGTCGTCTTAATTAAACAAACGTCCTAATTTGCTGAGCATAAAACAGCATCTCTGCCCGCAGGGGCAGGAAGTGCATTTTCCCTTTGTGGAGCCCCAGAGAGTCGCTGCCTCTTGGCCTTAACCCTTGGTGTGCTGAGCCCCTGGGCTTAAGCCCTCTGGTAACAGTGGAATGGAGCCCAGGTGCCCCCTGGAAAGTGGTGTTCCTGTGACTTACAGAATCCCATTCTTCTGGAGAGCTGGGAAGAGTGGGATCCTTAGCTTTGGCACTTGGCAGAGTTCAAATCCTGACCCTGCCACTTGCACACCGACTACAGGCAAGTCACATGAGGACCTGAGCCTCAGTGTCCTCATCTGTAATATGGGGATCATGATATCTACCCTGCAGGGCTAGATGTGCGAACTAGAAGAAATAAGGCTTATAAAGGGTCTCATATATAGTGACTGTGTAAGTTTTAAGGAAAATATATAAGTGATCAGTCTTAACTCCCTGGATTGTCAAGTGAGGAAATGGGAGGAGGGGTTTTCCTGGCTCTTAGCTGGTGCTCTTTCTACTTCTAAAAAAAGGTGTGCTTGTGTGTGTGCAGGGCTCGTGGACTGTGTGATAAACACACAGGTGGTTCCAGGCTGCATTTGCTGATGCCTTTGGATGCTCTTGGCGATAAGCTCATGCTCACTAGCCTTGTCTCAGGGCCCTGGCCCGGGCACAAAAGTTTGTTAGCACAAACTAACTGCAGTTTTAGTTCTGAAATGTGGTTTCCTTGATCCAGGAGAGAGTCAAAGGGTTACGTGGAAAGGGCGCTGTTTTTAGTGTCTGGAGACCTGGCTTTCAGATCTGGTTGGGGGAACATTGGATTTTGGTAGAAAGTGCCGTATCGCCCGCCCTACAGAGACATCATCACACCAGTTTATGTGCCTACCAGTTGTATGCGAGAGTGCTCGGGAAACTGAAAAATGCTGTAATTTTACTTATTAATTCTTCAGTAGTATTAGCAGATTCACCTTTTATTAAAAACGCAGCGCTTGATAATCTTGTGATATCTGTGATCTGAATAAACTGATAAAGCAGAAAAACAGTTTTCCCTCCCACAAAAACTGCAGTAATTTTAACTTCTCTGAGATGCCCCAGTTTCTCAGGCACTCTCATGCCCTATGGATGGATGGGAGTCTTTAAGTTGTACCAACCCTCCTCTTGAAAGGTAGTTTGGCAGTAGCTGTCAAAGCACAGTCCTTCTGACTGATTTCTAGGAACTCAACCTGGCAGATAAACGCAAACGTGCATAAGGAAATGTCCGAAGATATTCTTTGCAGCATCGTCATAGAAAAATACTGGAAGCAAGCTGTCTATTAAGAGGGTCAAATAAATCATGGCACAGCTGTATGGTGGGAATCCTTGCAGCTCTTGTAAAACTGAGCCTGACCTATAGGCACCAAGAGGGTCTGCTCTCCAAGATCTATTGTAAGTGGAAACAGCTAGATGCCGAGTAGTGTATATGGTGCTCCCTTTCTTGCGAAGTGTGGCGTCACCTCCATGCTGTGGGTGCAAAGAAACCACGGTGATAGTGGCCGCCTCTAGAAAGGGCCCAGGAAGCAGGAATCTGAGGTAAGCATTACTTTCTCACTAAATGCCTTTTTACATGCGTTGCCCTCAAATTGTCAAAAATTTAACATGTATGTATATGTATGACTGAAACATTATTCTGTACACCAGAAATTGACACATTGTAAACTGACTATACTTCAATTTAAAAAAAACATTAAAAGGAAAAAAAATGTTAAATGTCTTAGTTTTATTATTTATGAAAATAAATCACTGGCTGGCCAATTCCAGAGGTCTCCACTTTTAAATGTATTACTTGCAATTCCAGATTTCACATTGAATGCTGACTGTGTGCAGGGAAGGAGGAAGGGTCTTAGAAATGGACCAAGTTGCTCTTGTGGTTGGAACATTTTCGGCTCTGTTTTCTTCTCCATGATGTCATATTATCACCAGAGTAACCCTTTTAAACAAGTGTCTACTCTGATCCACTTTGTATTCTGGAAAATGGTAGATGATTGCTTTTTCTCTGCTGTACGAGAAAAAGAAGCCCACAGTTCGTGTCTGGAAAGTGTTTTGGGAAGCCCCCTTGCCAGCTTTCCCACAGTTCCCCTGGCTCCAGATTGCACGCTGTCCTTTCCTGGGGAGCCCACCGTGACCGGAAGGCTAAACCAGACCTTTATTCTCTTGGGTCCTCTTCCTTTTTAAACTTGGGGTCATTGCAACGCATTCCATCTCTGGTTGTCCCTCTGACATCTGGCCTGTG